CAGAACAATTATTCTCTGTGTTTGTAACACTTAGTGTATGCAAATGCTTGATGTTTGGTTGTAACTTTGGCACCCGTTTTGCCATTGTACGCGTCGGTTGACCTTGGGCTAATTCGGGGTCCTACCTTTACTCCTCTCCCTCGACAATATTTAATGTCTTCTACCTAAGGAGTAGCTTAGGGGTGCCACATTAACAGCAGCAGAGAGCGGTTACGACACTTTTAACGACTACTTTCCTAGTATTCCTAGTGTGGGAAATGTACCTACAGTGCGGGGAAAGCTCATTTACATTGGACCCAAGATAGTTTAAATTTATAACAGCAGAAGATTTAGAAATGATGTCTGTTTTCAGCACCGCTTTGTCTCCATATTCCACGGACATATCATTAATAAATGAGGCAACACCTCCGTGGGCCATCTGAAAAATTTCTAAATGGAGTTCTCCTTACAATGAGTAAGTATCTTAAATATAATACCACGGATAAGCTCTTCCACTAAAGAACTGTATTCGATACCGTCGCTCCAGCTAAATATCTGTTTAAGATCAGCGTTCAAATACCTTTCCTGAACACAATTGATTGCTAACAGAGACGTCTTACTACGATATTGCCGTCAGACCAAATGCAACTCTAGGACATGTTGAAGCTGCTAAGAGGGCCAAGCACCGGACCTCAATTTCATGGTAGTTGATAACCGGTGTGGTCGACTCTTAGGTGTTGCCCTTTATCACAGAATGCATTGCGAGGGCTGGCAAGGGAGGTGTATAAAGGCAAAATCAAGGATGTTACTGAAATGGAGAGGAAGTCAATGCAATGCTTTGTGTTCTCGACCACCTGATATTTTGGCTGCTCTTGTACGCGTGAAATGGCCTTCAGGCCAAGTCGAGGCCCAACTACACCACGCATCAGATCAGATACTATTTTGCATCAGAAACACAATTGTTCCTCAGACGTTTATGATATGTGGGTCACTGGTACCCGCAACAATAGATTGGTCTTTTCTTCGTTCGTGCTTATAATTGTATTATCGAAAAATCGGGCGGAAGCCAACACTAGCATAGGCGAGTTTCCAAAAAAGTCCAGTATTTTCTCAGACGTGAAAATTTGTAATTCCACTAAGATTTATGCGACTCCTTTTGTTTACCTCCTTATTTCACCACTTACTAGAGTTAACCTTGAAATGAATATGAATGAAGTGTGCAGCCAGGTTTCTTGTGCATTTGCGCCCGTGCATCGATCTTTGATATAGTGCACAGATGATCGAAGGGCACATTAGAGTTGAGGAGCCCTCGGATCAGAAGTTAGTTTTATGCACCCACGCGTGATTATGCCGCTGCTGGACTTGATGATCTAGCATTTTACTAACAATTTGGCGAATATTTTGCCACTCGAGTTGTGCATAATGAAGGGAAGCTTCTATGGGTTCCATAGGATTTGAACTCAGGAGTCGTATCCCACCCATCATTGTCATCTTACGCTGCTGTCATTCATGCTTTACAATGCCTTTGTTGCATTTATTCTCCCATGTTCAAAGTATGCAGCTGCAAATCGATTGAAGTCTGTTCTCGATACATTTTAGTAAATTTGCTTGTGTTAAGCTACTATAGACAGGGATTTTTGGGCTGACATTTTCTTTTAGTTGCCTCTATTAGCTTTCAGAGATGTTCCTTTATCCTCTCGAGTGGTCATGCTTGGCATAGTAAGCTAAGTGAAGCGTTTTTATGCTCCATCTCGTCTAATGTTTAGACGGCAGGAGACCGATACTTCGTCGTCTTCGTCATCCAATGCTGAAGTGCGTACACCTCCTCTAACCCAGGCTCCGAGTGTCCAATCAGATTACTGTAAGACTACTTTCTTCTTATCTCCTATCACAATCGTTTTCAGGTTTTGAAGACGCTCGTCTACGTGAGACGACCAACGCGCAAAAACTCCTAGATCTACCCATAAATGTAAATAGCCCTTAGAGGACATTCTTAATGCCCTTCAGGACAAACAGAGCCTTATAGCTAAAGGCATCCTAACTAAAATTTGCCGCCGCAGACCGAAGCAACGGACATTTTTTCTCTTCAACGATACTCTTGTATATGCGAATGTTTCCTACGGAAAACTCGTAGGTTTATCTGTTTTTTTTTTAAACGGAAGTTTAGCTCGCTCATCCGCATGCATTTCCGCTGGAGGAAGTCACCGTGTCTGATGTGAATGATAGTGGAAGTAAGTTCGATGATACGCCATCTAACTTGTGTTACCCTCATTTTCTGCAGTTTACAGACATGGGTTCATAATCGAAACACCAAAGAAGTCTTTCACTGTCTACGCCTCAATTGCCGAGGAAAAACGTAGATGGGTACTAGTCATTACTCAAAGTGCTGAAGCTGCTCGACAGGCTGCCGGTCGTGGTGAGTTCCTGTTAGGGTGTTCTACGTGCCTTAGCTACTGTTGTGAAGGGACGATGTGGAAGATCTGAGTGGTCGTTACTTTGTGCAGTTGACAGCTAATGAGCGAGTGTACATCATTCAGCCAATGATAGGACACTTGGCTGAATTCATTTTAAGGCCTACAACTGATTTCCAGGGTCCAGCTGCGAATGTGCCCTACTGTCAATTTACGGCTTACGGGTTGAATGCATTCATTATGGTTCTTCTAGTAGACGGGCACTTTTAACTACATTCAGTCTAAAGTTGAAGTCCTCTGATGGCTCTTTTGCGATGCTAGTGAGTCGATTTGCGAATCTGTCTTTAGTGACTATTGTAACACCAATTGGTTGTGTGATTACTGCATTTTAAAAGTCATTGAAAGACCTTACTGTATGACAGCATAGTCTCATTGTTTGCTCTTACGCTGCGCGTCACATGTAGCTTCCCTAGTTAGGCAGTGGTGTTTTAGCCCCACTCCTTGACACGGCACCGGAGATCGCGCCATTAGCTGCAACGCATAAGTAATCACTTGTAGTGCGTTTGTTGCACTCATGCCTTCTCTAATCCACGTAATTACTGTCTGCCTCACTGCCAGATGCACAAAAGAAGCTATCACTCCTACAGAAATCACCTGTATGGATTCCCAACTCAGTGGCAACGCACTGCATGGTATGCCTAACCACCGAATTTACCATGGTTCAGCGTCGCGTAAGTGATTTCACCTACTACTTCAGAAGGATTGTTTTTTTTAAAGCATTGTTACTTTGTCAAACATTTGATGGCATGAACGGCACTTAATTCCACTCTTTAAATAAGCATTGGCTGGGTGAGTGATGTACCTAGGTAATCGGCGTTAAGCAATACGTGTGCAAACTTACAAATGTGGATGAATTTGATTGAAGAAGTTAGTCTGAGGATATGGCAATTAAAGTTAAAAATAAGCACGGTAACTTTTCTCATACTTCCCATGCAGATTTATTCTTACTCGGTAAATTATTTCCAACCGTCGTCAGGTAAGCTGAACTTTCATCTACATTTACCTCCTTGAGAAGGGGCATTGCCTTGTGCCTATCGAGATACGACTCTGAGTGCGCCTTTGCTCTAAACTGTGGCATAAACAGTCTAATTGCCCGTAGCATTAACCTGTCGCGTCTCTACTTCTCCGCCTTCTCACTTACTCTCCAGACCATTCCATCTCGGTGGTGAATTTGTGTTGCATTGAAGCACGATACGGATTTCATGGGTCTTAAAGTGTGTGTATTTTCCCAAGTCTATCCACTGGCCTCTAAAAAGAAGCACTTGCAACTTCATCAAAATAGGACGGTGAAATGTGGTCGTTTTGATTACCTGATTGTTGAGCAATCCTTTCTACGCACAAAGA